AATCCGCTGAGTTGGAAACCTTCGGGTGCAACCACAGTTGTGTTGTTTTCGGTTGTGGTTCCCCCAGAGACTGAATTATCTTCACTAGTGACAAATTTAAGATAGAAAACTCTCGTGCTCGTCCCCTTCTTGGCCCAATGGATCTCCATTGAGGTGACATACTCGCCGTCTTCAAGTGTAAGTGTATTGTCTGTTCCTCCTGAACCGCCATGGTTTAGCGTCAACTCAGCGGGACTTGCAACTTGGAGCGTTACTGCGTCAACCCGGTCGCCGGCACGGATTGTGAGAGAGCTCGCCACTTGCCCAAACTTGACCGAGTTGATATCTGAGAACGCGACTCCATTAGACCCACCGAGAGCTTCGCTTAGCTGGATGTCTTCAGCTGCAGCTGCATGCAGTACACTGATAGCCACGACGAAGACCAGGAAAGCCTGGAATATCGGCAAGGACGGCATGTCGACGAATTTGACGTGGTGCTTGTGATAGCTTCGTCAGAGAGCTGTTGATCAGCGAAAATGATGTGGGAGACGTTCCTCTCGTCGCGAATTTGCCACCAATTCTGGCGAAAAGTACGACCAGAAAAATACCTTGGATAGGACGCGGGATCTGCAACCGATGCGTGATCGCGGGCGTGACAGTGCACTCCGGCTAGTGGTGACCGCTGCGAACAGCTTGCAGTCAACTGCCTTCTACAAGTTGTAGTTCTTCGCATTCCACTTCAAAGTTGCCAAAATGTGATACTGTTCTTGTTTTTGTAAAGAATACTTAACAATGGAGAAATGGAATTTTCGTCACATGAGTCAAGAGTGACTTCGCGATTGTTTCTTTACATTTGGATATAAAAAAAGATAAATTCGTGTTTGTTAGATAAGACGCTGGTACTAGCGTAAAGAGGAAGCTCTAGCTCTAACGCGATAGCTTAGCTTGCGTTGATTCGGACATTCAGAGCCAAATGTCCACCCTTGGAAGACCTCGGTACCCACAGCACCAGCGATCCTCCACCTGACCCTGGAATTCCAATAAAATTTGGCCGCCATCGATCCAGATACAGCGTCTTGTCTTGCAGCTCGG